TTTAATTTAGATGAGCCTGTAATTTGTTTTCCCTCTGAACTCGGAGCAAAACTCGCAGTGGGAAATCACCGTCATATATCCGGTGCCTCATCCCTCGGCCTCCATCTCTCCCTCTTTTTTGCCCTCTTCTCCAAAAGCTCCCGCCCTGTGTCCTCCTCTCATCCCTCTTTCATCCTCCCGGGCGTCACTCGCTTTGATTCTCAGAGCTGGACGCCGGTTATCAGCCGTCCACAGCCTCTCGACATCAGAAGAGAGAAGGATAGAGGGAGGCACGGAGAGATAAAGAGTAGGACGGAGACATATGGAGTTATTGAGAAGAGAAATGAAAACGGACGGATGGCAAGAAAGGAATGTGAAATTTGAAAGCAGGAAAAGCAAAAGTGATGGGGAAAATAATGAAAGACAGACAGAGGGAGAAATGTAGATGGATGGCATGTGTGTCACTGAGTGAGAGAAAGCACATGCCAGCTTTCTCCCTGAGGCCATACAGGCTTAAATAACAGTTTTTGATTTTGATTTTTAATATTGATGCGATTCTAAGGGTGAAAACCAAACAACGGGAAGCTTCCGATCCCCAAGACAAGTTCCGACCCAGATACATACAGATAGAGGCACATCAGGTGTTTGGAGTGGTGTACTAGGCTACTCATACTAGTAATGTAGTATGTCAACTATCTGTGCACACAAAATACCATGTACATACAATGTTTGCAGAATATACAACCAGAGCCAGTGTTATTTTAAGTATCATTGCTTTTGAATTAGATTTTATTTTTATTTTCAGGGTGTGTTCACACTCGGCATGCGATTGCTCTGTTAGTACGGTTCATCTGAATAAGTGTGAACGCTGCCATCTGTCCGCTTCCAAACGAACTCTGGTGAAGTTCGAATGAAATATGAACGCAACGCGGACCAAAGACATGTAAACGAACCAAAAACAGGAAATTATGTGACAATATGCGACACTAAAAATGACAGAACGCTCAAGCATGCCTGTTTTTTCTCGTCACAGTCGCGATGTTGCTCATCATAGTTCGGTACATCAGAACCGTGTCTCCTCACAGTCACAGCAGATCTGTGCGTTTGTGTGTGACGGAGGGATTCCTGCCACTGTTTTGACTTCATTACACATTTTATAAGCCCTTCACGAGTTCTCAGCCGGTCAGAATAACATCATATGTTGCTACGCACTTACAATGAGCATTTAGCCCAGAACACATATTGTTTTGGATGTTTGGTTCCATCGTGAAATATACGTTATAAAAGCCGAACAATCAGGTTGTGAACGTATCCCTATGCCTTTAGGTTCGGTGTTAAAATGGCAAAGTGAATGCTTTAATAACCTTTAGTTAATAATAACCCTGTTCAGAGCACACTGCGTTGAAAATGGTGTCCCAAAATGCACCACACTTTAGCAAGGGGGTAATCCATCGACCGGAAGTTGAAGCCGGCCGGGTGCCGCCATGTTGTAGCAGAACTTCACTTGCGTTAGCATTTCCATTGACTCCCATTCATTTTGGCGTCACTTTGACAGCGAATAACTTTACATCTGAGGCGTTTAAAGACTCCATTTGTCCATTATTTATTTCTAAAGAAACATGACAATGTATAAAGGGCTCCATTACCTTCTATGTTACACTATGGCCCCGTAGAAACAGATTTAGTAAAAATAGGCTAACGATTGCGTCATAACCACTCGACTCTGTCGCGCTGTACAGAAATTACCGTACAGACAGGAGGAGAAGCTCGCAGGCAATCGGGGGGACGTCCCGTCAAGGGAGAAGCCCATAGATAATGAGTCCATAAAAGCAAAGGAGTACTTACTCCTGCTCACTCACGCCAAAGAACTCTTTGCTCAAGTTCCCCGTCTCTGCAAGATTAACGTTGGCAGTTTTCACGCACAGCTACTAGAAGATTAACGTCTGTCAGTCAGGTTGCTCACGTCATCAAGCTTAGTTTGAGTCGGTCTGAGTCTGCGCGTCAGGAACGGAAGTGCTCAAAAATCGCTAAAAATGGGCTTCAACTGTCTCAACTGAGTTCCAATGAGATGGCTCTGTCCACTTCTTATACTGTCTATGCACTTTACTCATATTTTCAGTGTGACAAATAAGACGGAAGCAATTTTTCACATAAACATTTACAAAATATTTTTACACAAATCTGGATTTAAATTAATCTATTTTCTAAATGCATCTCATTGAAATTGTGAATGATTCATCCATGCATATGTTTGATTTTTTTTTTGACCTCGTTATTTTTAATCAAAATGTCATTACTTGATCTGCCGAACTTCATACTGGTGACGTCGCCGGACGTCTCCAATCATTTAGTCTTCTTAAACCCCGCCCAAGATTGCGTTCTGCCTCCATCCAGTCAACAACTGATGGACTCAACCACATTTTTAATTTTCAATAATCTATTTCACTCTGATGTACAGCACAATACGAAAAATCTCTCACTACGTACTTTTCATCTTTTCATTTCACTCTCAGAATTAAACATTCAACATAGTTATGTCATGTAATGATATTGTGCCATACTCAATTTTGAAATGATTTTTTATTGTTGACTGTTTTACACACAATATCTCAATATCAAAAAAGTATATGTAGCTAATATCCATTCTAAACATTTCTCCCTAAGGCCATCAGGGCTCAAACATAATCTTTTTCTTCTTGTCATTGATGCTTTTCTGAGGTCTAAACCAACAGAAAGCTTCCAGTCCCCAAGACAAGTCTCGACCCAGATACATACAGACAGAGACACATTGATTCCATCTCTGTATGCTAAACTCCAACACTCATGGGGAAAGCACATGAAAAAAAAAAAAAAAAGAGCAATAAAGGTGTTTCTCCTTAGAGACACGAATAAGAAAGGAGTTTGAACAAATAACAGTAGGGGAAAGAGGGAGAAATTTATTCGGTGCTAGTATTTTTAGATCAAAGGAGCTTTGTGATTGGAGCCGGTTTGAACTGTATGGTGGCTTCGGGTGGTCACATGACCAGCACAGCTCCCATAGCAAGAACCCCGGGGCCAGATACGTGTGTGTGTGGGGGTGACTGATTAAAACCCATCACCACCATCAATAAGTAATGACCAACAGCCAGTTCAAGCTAAAACGCAATCAAGAGCAGAGAGAGTGGAAATGGAAAGGAAGGATGTTCACTGGTAATTAAATGACCATCATTCACCGCTGGGTTGAAACTCTATATAGTGATTTTGTATTGTCACTGACTGTATATGTGTGTGAGTGTAAAATTAGGCTGTGCCCTTGTTCCCATGTCCGTCGGTTTCCCTGGAGCTATGCACGTCAGTATGAGAGAAAATCACCCACAGTTTCTAGTTGTTTTTGCTAAAGCTTCTGTTGGCCATGATTCGATAACCAAACCATCAAACCTTGGGGAACTTCCCTTGCCCTCTGTGTGCTTGGAGGAAAAATGTTATTGCTCAGATGTTGCCCTGTCATACTGTGCTGAAAAACAGCGTAGATCTGCATGCATTTCTATTGGTTGTGATGTTCGCTGCTGCTTTTGCTAGTGGACTTTACATGTGCTTTAGTGTGTTTGTCAACGCATCAAAATAAGTGTACTTATTGTGAAGCACGGAAAAAGCATGAAAACAATTATTTAAAGTAAAATTAAGTGCACTTTTTAAAACGTATTGTCATGAAAGTGTACTCTTTAAGTACACTTAAGTGGCCATTAATATTACATTATCTGCAAGTACAGTTTTTTTTAAATTATACTTTAAGATTTGAAGTACATTTACAAGTGCACATTCAATACAATTAAGTGCACTTCTTTATTACAACGGGTGCAGAGAGATAGAGAGAGAGTATAATTATGAAAATGAATATGGATAGCAGAAGCACATCATTTGGGCTTGGGAAACTTTGCTGAGAAATATTTAAAGTTCTATTGATATCTTGTGTATGTTGGCAAATATCTACAGTTTGAAATATTGTCGAAGTCTTTATAGGGGACGCACAATCACAGAGTCTTCTGCAAGCACAAGTCTTGATTCATCTATTTAATGGATAAAGAGTACACTTTGAAGTACACTAGTACACAATGGGTCTCATTCATGAAACATTCGTAAATATACGAGTAAATATGCGAGTGATTTGCGCGTAAAGAGACCTTCCCGAAAACTCTTCTCCTGATTCACAAATACTTCGTAAACGTCAGATGTGATAGTGAAATGTGTGTGTGTGTGTTAATGATTCCAATCAGTCGTAAATGGGATGCGCATGCACGTTCATTCTCAATTACCATAAATCCCGCCCATTAAATCCGACTGACAACTATATATGGGCATCATATTATGACATGAATGCGAATGAAAAAAAAAAATTCTCAGATGCAGAAATTGAAGTTTTATTATCAGAAGTTCGTTCAAAACGCCACATTTTATTTTCAAGCGTACATAGTGGCGTATCGGGTCCTAAAAAAAAGGAAGCTTGGCAGCATATTACAGATGCAGTTAATGGAGTTTCATCTGTTAATCGAACATTCCCAGAAGTGAGAAGAAAATGGTTCGACATTAAGCTTGAGAGCAAAAAACGAATTAGTTCACTTCGGAAAAATAGTATTAAACTGGAGAAGGACCACCATCGCAGATGCTATTTCTGGCTCTCATAATAAGAAAAAACGTATGTAATTACTATATATAATATTTTTTTCAAAATGCTGTGCAAATATGTACCCGATTAAGGTGAATTAAAATGCAGCCTTAGTTATTAATGAGCAAAACGTTCGGGTGTTAAGCGCACTATTTACGCGTGGCTGGGAGCAGGTTTAGATTTCTTGTGTACCAACTAACATTTGGAAAATACGAACATTTTAATGAATCCGAATATTTACGCCAGAACCACTTTACACACGATTTACACAAAAATTCGTTCTGCTCGTGTTTCATGAATGAGACCCATTGAACACAATTAAGCACACTTCTTTTTCAAGGGGAAAAATTAAAGTCATATTTTTTTCCCTGTTTGACAGAGGTCCTGATGAATACAAAGACTGAGACATCAGATCTGAAGTGGACGACGTTCTCTCGAACTAAACCTGAGGTGAGACCTGCAGATTTGACCCTACATGTAGAGCAAATGCTCAGTGCAAGCTGTGTGTGTGATTACGACTGATCTCCTCTTCTTGTGTGTGCAGTGGGACGAGGTCAGTGGCCTGGATGAGGAGAACAACAGCGTGAGGACCTATCAGATCTGCCAGGCCGACGGCGCGTCCAGTCACTGGCTGCGCAGTAAACTCATCGACCGGCGAGGGGCGTCTCAGGTGTACGTGGAGCTGCTCTTCACCATGATCGAATGTTCATCGCGGATCACGCATCACCGGTCCTGCAAAGAGACCTTTAACCTTTACTACTACCAGAGTGACACGGATGACGCGACGGCAAGCCACCCCGCATGGATGGAGAACCCCTACACCAAGGTGCTCATACACACTAGACTGCAAATGTAAAACTGCATAAATAGTTATTTACGTTACTGGAAGGAAAATTTCATAGATTTCGTATCAATTTTAGATGAGTACACTTAAAAAAAATAGTACTTATTACAGAACTTTAAAAGCATATACTTAAGTGTGAACTGCATGTAATGTTTTCAGATCACATTTCACATTTATATTAAATGCAATTAAATGATTAATTAGTACATCTTAGTATGTCATTTTATAATTTCTTCTATTGTCTTGATATTTATTGTCTATAATATGTCTTAAATATGGCAGAAGTGTACTGAGATATGTGCCGACAAGCATTTATAGTTAAACGTAACTTTTATGTCATGCATATATTTAAATATTTGAAGTTGCAATTTAGAACATTTAAAATACATTAACTCTAAATTAAATATTGAATATAACATTACAGTTCAAATTATAATCCAGTACTTTACACGTGCTTTAATGTCAGTCAACACGTGTACTTCTTTAAAGCATGACAAAAGATTATTAAAACATAATGATTTAAATTAAGTGTTATGAAAGTGTACTTTAAGTACACTTAAGTGGCCTTTTATTTAAATACTAAAATTGATCTGCAAGTATCTTTTTTTTTAAATATATATTTTAAGTGCACATTATTTAGGTTTGGGAGACTTTGTTAAGAAATGTTTGCGTTTATACAGAGATCTTTGACTTCAAATCTCAAATCTCTGAACAGTTTAAAGTATTGTTGAACTCCTTAAAAAATGTGTCCAATGAAGGTCATCTGAATATATATTATAGAGCAGTGAGCAATTGTACTTAAGTGCAAATTAATGACAGTTGAGTTAATAACTCTTAATGAATGAATGACTCATGAATGAAAGAGATCACATTTGTGATTTTCTCTTCTATGGATCTCACCAGTCTTTGCCGAATCTCTGTTTTCCATCAGGTCGACACGGTGGCCGCAGACTTCTTGCTCCGTGCAGGTGGAGAGAAGAAGCCAAACATCAAAACGCTGCGTTTGGGCCCATTGACCAAACGGGGATTTTACTTGGCGTTCCAGGCCCAGGGAGCGTGCATGGCCCTTTTATCCGTGCGCGTCTTCTTTAAGAAGTGTCCGGCTCTCACGCGCTCACTATCCGTGTTCCCGGAGACGGTTCCTCGCTCGCTGGTGCAGGAGGCAGTGGGCCAGTGTGTGGCAAACGCAGCTCAGCCTGGACCAAATCCCAGACCGCCTAAGATGTTCTGTGGAGAAGATGGACAGTGGGTGGACCAGCCCACCACCACCTGCACTTGCCTGCCGGGCTTTGAGGCCAGCCATGGAGATCTGGAGTGTAGAGGTGAGAGAGAGGGAATACAACAGACTTCTCTGAAGATAATTTGAGCTCAACGTGAAGACGATGAGCTGTAGAGCCAAATTTCAGTTAAACTAAAGTACACTGAAATAATGTAGCTTGTCATCCATGCATACTGTGCACAGTACGCTACAGAAAGCAATGCGCCATTCTGAACATACGCTTCCATCTATATACTTACTATCAAGTATGAAACTGATGGCCTGTTTACCGCTGGTATTAAGATGCGTTTTGGTCGATCGGATCACAAGTGGACGACACTAAAAACAGGTGTAAACGGGGTCTAAAATGCTTTTGAACACTTTCAGAGGTAGTGGAAAACACATTCGACCGGATTGCTGTCGTAGTGTAAACGCTCATGTGATCAAATGTGTTCAAACAGCCACAGAAGAAACGTTACTGAACTAACGTGTAAACATTATGAGAAGAGCTCTAGTCAGACGGGATTTAAACTTTGTCGGCTGGAGACTCAAGTTCGGTTTAAAGAGGAAAAACGTACCAAGCACAATGTTCTTGCAGCATTCCTGATTTCTAACACACACTCACAGTGTTCGACGTGATCTTGCGGCTGTCAGGGCAGAAACTAAAGCTGATGCTCTCCGTATGTTCTTCCGTCGTCTCCAGTCATGTTCATATGTACATTGTGACAGTGGTGGAATGTAACGAAGTACAAATACTTCGTTACTTTACTTAAGTACATTTTTCACATATCTTTACTTTACTTAAGTAGAATCAATAGTGCATACTTATTACTTTTACTTCGTTACATTTTGCAGCAATTATTATACTTTCTACTCCACTACATTTCTACAACGTTCTGTTACATTTTCGTTACATTTTCTGATCAGTTTTTCCCCTGCCAAAACGTCATCCTGACCGTCCGTTCGTCGCACGTTTGTCTCACCAGTGAAGTTTGGTTGCCATATCAACCCGGTCACACTAAATGCGTCTCTATAGCACGCAGTGTGTTTATCGTGCAATTTATATGCGGAAATTTGTTTTTACGTGCATAGGATACGCATGGGTAGGTTTAGTAGTGGTGTGGGGTGCGTGTGTAGCCTATTATACGTTTGGTTAGGATTAGTATGGCAAGCCAAGAGGTTCAGAATTACGCCATAAATTAATCGCGTTTACAGCCAAACCCCGTCAAATTAAGCTTGATGTGTATATTGCCTAATTGCAAGCTTGTTCAGAAATGGTGACAAAAACTTAAAAAATAACGGCTTTTCCATCATTATTGAATATCATTATAGGATTATTAGGTTGAATGAGTTAGGATTAACTCTTTTATTAATCATTAAATATAGACATTAAGAGAATAAATTGTTATGCAAGTACTTTTACTTTTAATACTTAAAGTACATTTAAAATCAGGTACTTTTTACTTAAGTAGGGTTGTCATTGTGGTATTTCTACTTTCACTAAAGTAAATATGTCTCTGGTTATTTGTACTTTTACTTAAGTACTGAGATTCAGTACTTCCTCCACCACTGCATTGTGAGAGCTTATTTTGTCCATTAGATCGAATTATCTAAAAAAAAAACATACATTTACCCGCCCATAGACCCTCGCCTCGAAGACATCAGGACAGAAGTGGTCGAAAAATGGACAAAAGAGATGGATTAAAACACCAGGTGTAAACGGGAATGTCTCCCTCGTCTACTTGTGATCCGATCGACCAAAACGCATCTTAATACCAGCTGTAAACAGAGCCTGAGAGAATGTTGAGTTCACAATATAACGCACGCAAACACACTGGCTTTCTACTTTAAGATTAAGTGTTGAGGAAGTTTATATCGACAACGACTGCAACTTCAGCACTGATAAGAGGCCACGGATGGAGAGAGAGAGAGACAGTACAGGACAGATGGGACTGAATTAGACAAAGACTGTGACACTGAGAAGGAGAGAAAACAGTGAGTGAGAGAGGTGAGATGAAGGTCTTGCCTTTCAACTAGAGAAAATAGGTAGGAAGTGGAGAGATCAGGAGAGGATTACTGTGAATTTCATCAGTGTCCTACGGCTGGACACATTTTCATTCGCTATTACATTACAGTTGCTGTGCATCCTGGGTACATTTACATTTCTGCATGTGGCAGACACTTTTGTACAAAAGCGACCGTACAAGTTTCATGGCGAAATTGCAAAAGATTTCTTTCATCGTAGGGCGAAATCACCAGTCTTTGATCGCTTAATATGACACGCTCACAAATGGCAGATTAATTGTCTTTCTGATCAAATTTAGTCTCCAGTGTGTCCAAAATGTTGGGTCACGGTCTTGCAGTGTGATTGCACACATGACTGCCATCGTTTGAAGATTGAATGAGACATAAATCAGACATATACTACATTCAAAAGTTATATTTTTGGTAAGATGTTTTTGAACGAAGTCTGTTCTGCTCACCAAGGCTGCATTTATTTGATCAAAAATACAGTAAAAACTGAAATATTGTGAAATATTATCACAACAGCTGTTTTCTATTTGAATATATTTAAAAATGTAATTTATTCTTGTGATAAAAGCTGCATTTTCAGCATCATTACTCAGTCTTCAGTGTCACATGATCCTTCAGAAATCATTCTAATACGCTGATTTTCTGCTCAAGAAACATTTATTATAATTATCAATGTTGAAAACAGCATAATATTTTTGTATTCTTTGATGAATAGAAAGAACAGCATTTATTTGAAATGGATTTTTTCATGATTAATGTCTTTCCTGTCACTCACAAAATATTCAAATTAATACATTTACAATGGAAGCCTAATAGGTTTGAAGCACTAGAATAATTAATTATACATTAATTAGTTCATTGTCATTTTTCGTTGTAGCAAATATTGCACGTGTTCGCATTAAACACTAACAGGAACTATTGTAATACACAACTAAGTTCACGTGCCTCTCATAAAGCAAACGTTTTTTATGAAGTGCATGAACAAAACTTCACCTTTCTGCTTTTAAACCCTTGCCTAGACTTGTACATTTGTTACTGCAAAGTGCAAACGTGGTTTTCCTTCATTTTTACAACGTTCGGCAATGATTTTCTGTGGTAATCGACAGCGTATGTTGCATGCGTGCAGCTTAAGTTGACCGGGAAAAGGATTTAACCAGGAAAATTCATTTAAGGACATGACTGATCTACTTTAATTCAAGTAATCGCCGTCTCTCGGTGAAGTGGATCAGTCCAAATCCTCCCAGTTTTCAAATATGACTTCAGCTCTTTAATGATGTTTCTTGGGATGGGTGGAGAGAGCGAGTGTTAAAGGCTGTGCTTGTCTGTTAAACACTGCAGCTGTGCTTTCTGTGGGCGTGAACCCCTGGAGTTCACACACACACACACTCAATGACTTACTCAGCATTCATCCACTCAACCACACTACATCTGCTGTTCATCCTTTTCTTTCACACACCCACACACACAAAGCCATAATAGTGGCGCCTGCAGGCAGGGATGTGTCCGGTACAAAGCCGCTCTAATGACATGACCAATTAGGTATGGGCAGAGAGAGAAAGAAAAAGAGAATACTGCAGTTTATTGGGCAGGTGAAAGGCCGAATGGAGAGTGTGTGGTCACGGGGTCACAGGTTGAAGGGCTGAAAGAGCAGAAAAGGTGTGTGTGTGTGTGAGTTTAATGGTACTAATGACTCTAATTAGTCGCATACAGATTCACACATGTACAATCTCTTCTCGTTTAGCTGTGAAATAACAGTGGTGGTGCCAGTGATGGTATGACATGGCATACACCAGACTCAGAGTATTGAGAAATAATTTAAAATAAATGTCATTTATTCCTGTGATCAAAGCTGAATTTTCAGCATCATTACTCCAGTCTTCAGTGTCACATGATCCTCCAGAAATCATTCTAATATGATGATTTTCTGCTTAAGAAACATTTCTGATTATTATCAATGTTGAAAATGGTTGCACTGCTTCATATTTTTGTGGAAACTGATTATTTTTTAGAAATCTTTGATGAATAGAAAGTTCAAAAGAACAACATTTATTTTGTAATATTATAAATATCTCTGACTGTCACTTTTGATTAATTGAATGCATCCTTCCTGAATAAAAGTATTAATTTCTTATAAATATATATATTACTGACCCCAAACCTTTGAACAGTAGTGTAACAGTAGTGTGACTCCAAGGTACTTCAAAGTATATCTTACAATTACCAATGTTTGATTAGTACATAAATCGGTGACCACAGTTTTTAGGTAACACTTTTAAAGGTGGCGTAGTTGCACATGTTACATGTACTGTACACATGTACTTACAATAACAGTAAATTATGCATAATTACAAGAAATTAACCCTCAACCAAACCCTGACTATAACCCTTTAGTAAGTACATTTAGTTAATTAATATTAATTAGTACTGATTACACTATAAAAATGTCACCTTAAAATAGAGTGTGACTTTTTTTTATAATCACAAATGCTGACAATGGAAGGAGATCGTATAAGACTCATTTAAAAGCTGAATGTCCTTTTTAATAGCTCTTTCTGGACTGCATTTGTTTTCTAAAATATGTTTGAGCTACATTTATTAAATCAGGATGCTTTGATGGACAGATGTGGATGGGATTGCAATATTTGTGGTTGTTTCTAAGATGGGAGTGTCTGTCATTACAGAAGATCATGCGTGCATCACTATCCCAATTAATTAATTCTATAATTATATCATTATGTATGTAATTAAGGGAAGGAATGCATTAGGATAATGATCATACCTGACTCTGCTTGTACAGTGGCCGTGGTTTCTGAGATCAGATTTACTGTGGTAATGTAATTGTCTTTTTACGTCGGATGAAATGCCAGCGGCACGCGCGGTACCACTAACCCAGAGAGTTGGCCAAAATGATTCCCCAGGCAGTTTAACAAGAAAATGAGATTTAGTTATAGTGTCTGGCGAGGGTTTAAAATAAACGAAGAGAAGAGTTACAATAACATACCGCAATCACAGAGATTCCTATCTGGACAAGATTCGTTTTCTCAGAGGACCTTCTGGTATGAAAAAAAAACATAAGTAATTTGCTCAGTCAGTAATTTTTTCCTTGAGGTTGTGCGAGAAAAACAGACATTTTCAATTTAGATGGGATTCCAATCACATTGTGTGTCTATGAAACACAAATTATGGCAGGTCAAAAGTATTCAAGTTATAAACACTACTGTTTGAAAGTTTGAGGTCAGTTTGATTTTTTTTTTTTTTTGAGGGAGAGAGAGAAATGAGCCTTTTATTCAGCAAGGACGCGTTAAATTGATCAAAAGTGACATTGATAATGTTACCAAAGACTTCTCTTTCAAATAAATGCTGTATTTTTTAACTTTCTATTCATCAAAGAATCCTGAGGGGGGAAAAAATGATCACAGTTTCCACATGAAAATGAAGCTTTTCAACATTGATAATAATAATAAATGTTTCTTGAGCAGCAAATCATCATATCAAAATGATTTCTGAAGGATCATGGAGTAATGATGCTGAAAATTCAGCTTTGATCACAGGAATTAATTACATTTTACAATATATTCACGTAGAAAATAGTAATAATAATTGTAATAATATTTACACAATATTCCTGTTTTTACAGTATTTTTGATCAAATAAATGCAGTTTTTCAACAACATTTAAAGGTGCTCTACGTAACTTTTAGCGGCCTCTAGTGGTGATGTTTCAGATTGCAACCAAATTTTACAAGAGCGCTCGTGCTCGAACTCATAGACAATACTGTCTATTACGCAAATATCTCGGCGAATCCTACACGGATTCGGCGAGCACCGAGCTCGTTGGGACCATCTAGTCGAGCTAAAAAGAAGCATATAAATTCCATAGTTTTTGGTGGTGTTTTCGCGGAGATATTAGCAGAAAACCATCGGGCGCGCTGCAAAATTGCGGACGCCGGTGACGTCACGATCTCAGAAGTAAATCGCTCGTATCTCTGGAACGCAAAGACCCAGAGAGCTCAAATTCGGGGGAGGAGTCCCAGGGGAACCCTTGCCCGAACGCTAGAGTGGCGGGCCTCGGGGATGCCCCCTACCGGATCGCCGTTCGCTGGGACCCCCGATTTCGAACGGCTATAACTCGGGGAGCCGGGCGAGTTGGACCTCGGCGGTGGGCTCGTTCGAAAGGCCCCGTACAGCACTACAAACGATTAGAGTCTTGGGAATATTGATCAAAGATTGACTGAGATATAAGCCGAAAATCGTGCGCCTTTAACCGGACGTAACTCCCTGACCGTCTACAATAGACTGTATATAAGGAGAGAGGCTCGGGAGCGCGCATGCACGTCACATCCGTTGGATTTCGCGGTAAATCCGACCCGGAGACTTCACATAGAAATAGGAATACTGGCCTTCAGAGGTAATAGCAAAACTCGACAAGTGGATCATTTTAATGTGTGATTACAACCCCTTCACACACAGGCAATAAAAAAAGGATTCATTTTAGTAGAAAAGTTACATAGAGCACCTTTAAAAATCTTACTGAACCTAAACTTTTAAACAGTAGTGTGTTCTTTTGTTTGTTTGTTTAAAAATAGGTTAAAAACATTTTTGTTTAAAATGGTATAGATTCATAATTAATCTCTAGGACACTGATATGGATGTCAGCAGTAAAAGCATCTCTGTGTCTGTAAAACCAGCGCTGAAGTTAGAAAGATCTTTATCCTTCAATGAGGAAATTCAGAGACATTCATTATGGAAATGTTTCAAAACACACACACACACACACACCCCAGTGTAAAGCTGCTTTAGGAGGATAATTCAGACCATATGTTTTGGTCTGAGTGAAACTGATGTTAATCAAATCCAGATGTGTTTCCATCAATACAGGGGTTGTGGAGAACTGATTATGAAATGAAACTGGTGTGTAACCCTGATCTCATGAGACTCTGCATTGCTCATTCATACATGTGTGTGTCTGTATGTGTGCACATGTCACGTCGGAGAAAAAGACTCGAGTTTCTTTATGCAAGCTGAATGTGTGTGGCTTTTATCTGCGGTGTCAGACGGAGAACTATAAATCAAGTGATTGAGTTGCTAAACACGTAGAGGAACATGATCATTTTCCATATCGTACGGCAGACTTTGCCTCACAGAGATTCAGAAGCGGTTTAAATCCTAAATAAACCAGCGTCACACCGGCGCTTGTTGTCTAAATGATTGTTTAATGTTGACACATAAGGACAAATGAGGTTTGTGCTTAAGACAGCAATTCTTCAGAGAGTGTGTGTGTGTTTATTTACTGGGAAAGTATGTTTGTTTAATGATAGTACAGTGCTTATTCTCTCAAAACTTGTTGTTTCTCTGCTTTACTAAAAAGACTTATGATGGTTCAGGCTGGTTTATTCTGGTTGAAGCTGGTTTAGCTAGCAAACCAGCATAACAATGTGAAAATCAGTCAGTGTGTTAAGTGTGTAAAATCCAAATCACACGACTGTTCAAAAGTTTGGCGCCAGAAGGATTAAAATAAAAATTATTTTCAAAAAGGATGTATTAAATTGATCAAAAGTGGCAGTAAAGACGTTTATAATGTTACAAAAGGTGAAAAAAAATGGTATTTTCGAAGCATATGAAGCAGTACAACTGTTTTCAGCATTGATAATAATAATAATAATAAATGTTTCTTGACCAGCAAATCAGCATATTAGAGTGATTTCTGAAGGATCATGTGACACTGAAGACTGGAGTAATGATTGATCACAGGAATAAATTACAGTTTAGTATATATTCCCATTGAAAACAGTTACTTTAAATTGTAATAATATTTCACAATATTACTGTGTTTTTGATCAAATAATTCCAGTCCTGGTGAGCAGAAGACTTCTTTTGGAAACACTGGTGAACACACTGAACTGTTCAAACTAAAGCAAATCAAATGTGTGGCAGAACGAGAAGGATTTTATGATCGATGTTTTGATGTGTGTGTGTACATTCCTTCCCTGTAAAGGCTAACAGTTGCTGATAATAGAAGTGTTGTGTCTGTGTCCAGCGTGTCCCGCGGGTCATTTTAAGATGGGTTCTGGTCCTGGTCCGTGTTCTGCGTGTCCTGACTCCAGTCACACAGGAGAGACGGGCTCTTCGTCGTGTGTGTGTCGGCCTGGTTTCCACCGCGCTCCCACCGACAGTCCCGATACACCCTGCACACGTGAGTAAAGATCTCCTCACATCTCTTAACACTATAAATATGCAACTCTAAATTATCAACATGATCAAAACTGCTGATCTACTGCAAGCTTTCTGCCGTCTGATTGATAGTTTAGACTTTTTTTAGCAAGTAAAAGGCGTTTTAGTACAAATGTCCACCTTCAGGTCGTGGTTCACGTGTCTTTTTGCTGTGAAACTTTACTGATTTCTATAAAGTCTTTTATATTATTAATAATATTTCAAGATAAACACTTACTGGACTGAAGCAACTTAGGTTAACTTGATTATTCATTCATATTTTTGTAGAAAAATCATGCTAAAATGAGAGTATCAAATGATTCATCAGACTTTTGAGAATAGTTTTTTTTTCCATTTTTTAATCATTGTATTAGAAGTTTTGCCCCCACGATGAAAACTACCGAGCTTTGAACATAAAACTAAGCATTCATCTTTCTAAGACATATTATTGGGAGATATAGAGTGACGACCAGTGTTGGGCAAGTTAGTTTTAAAAAGTAATTAGTTACAGTTACTAGTTACTTCTTCCAAAAAAGTAACTAAATTAGTTACTCAGTTACAAATTTTAAAAGTAACTAGTTAAGAAAGTAACTATTGCGTTACTTTCAAGTATAATTAAATTTTAAATGCTCAAATGTGACCCCACCTCTACCCTGTCCGACTATGCGTTATGATGGGTCGTTCGCAATTCATGAGCGTTAGCCGTTAGTGATGATGGATCAACTCGTTCGCGATTCGCGAATGAGCCGACTCTAAGAGCCGGCTCTTTTAGGTGAACGTCGGGAGCTGGCTCGCATGTCTGAAGAGCCGACTCTATTTTTACAAATTTAGCCTATAGAAATTAAATAATTATGTAATAAAAATTTAAATATTATAGTCAAAGTCATTTAAAGAGCCGTTTGTGAACCAAAAGAGCCGGCTCTTTTCAGTGAGCTGAGTCAAAAGAGCCGAATGCCCATCACTACTATGCGTGCTTTCGAACACCCGCCCAACTCTACCTCTGATTGGCTTACAATGACATTTTACTCTACCTCAGCCAATCGTCAGCATTTATGCGCTTGTCTCGTGCTCTGCCCACTAACCAAGGAAGAACAGTAAAAAAAGTTTTTGCCTCTCGCTCAGAGATCTAGTTGGTCTGATGAAAAAAAAACAGCTTCATCTGTTAAAGTAACCCGCCGCATTTTTTGGCAGTAACGGTAACGGGCCCGGCGTTATTAAGATGAGAAGAGTAATCAATTAGATTACTCATTACTAAAAAAAGTAATGCCGTTATTCCCATCACTGGTGACGACTGATATTATTCCTTCCTCTTTTCATTCTGTTATGGTCTGCATTACCTGTGTTTCCATCCATTTTTTCTCATGCAAATTTTTGGATATAGCATAAAAAAAATGCTGGATGGGAATGCTTAGATGCTCATAAATTATAAAAATGTGCATAAAACGTATGTCCTAAATTTTTGTATTTGATTTTTGTATCCAATAAGAAGAAATGCACATAAACTATGATGGAAGCACATTTACCGAACAAATCCCTTGATGTGCCATAAAAAGACTTTGCCGCAACAGAGGATGTGATTGGATAACTGGACTAACCAGCCGACCAATCGCATCGCACAGCATCTCAAATGTTGGTTTGATAATTCTGAAATGCTTAAGCTAAAGTTTGCCATCAGAATGATTTGATTTAATTACATCACAAAACTGTTTCATTGCATACTCAAACACCAGGCACTCAAACACACCGATTGCAGCAACTTCCATTTTTGTTACATATATTTCGCACCAATTTCCTAGTTTTCTTGAGCACATGGAGTGAAAACGGTGTTTTATTTGTGAACGATATTCCAAAGTTAAATTCGCAACTTTGGATGGAAACACAGCTATTCTGGCTTTTATGTTGCATTCTGGGCATTGTAGCTGTGATTGAAACGGCCTGTGTTTGTTGTCGTGTGTTCAGGTCCGCCCTCGTCCCCACGCAGCCCTGTTCCTCAGGTCAATGACACGTCTCTCACGCTGGAGTGGAGCGAGCCGCTGGACAGCGGGGGCCGATCGGACCTCACCTACAGCGTGGAGTGTCGGATGTGCTCGACCCCCAGGAGCCCATGTGTGCTGTGCGGGGACGGCGTGAATTATCGGCCCTCTCAGACCGGGATCCAGGGCCGGCGCGTGAGCATTTGGGGACTCCGACCTCACACCACCTACAGCTTCACCGTGATGGCCCTGAACGGGGTCTCGGCTCTGAGTGTGCCGGGGCCCGCGGGGGAGAACATCAACATCACCACCAGCCCCAACGGTGAGACACTGCAGCTCATATTAACCCCTTATCTGTCACCCCCCTTTTTGAGCATTGACGTGAAAATGCACTACCCAAACTTAAAGGGATACTCCACTTTTTTTGGAAATAGGCTCATTTTACAACTCCCCCAGAGTTAAACTGTTGAGTTTTACCGTTTTTGAATCCATTCAGCCGATCTCTGGTTCTGGCGGTACCACTTTTAGCATAGCTTAGCATACATCATTGAAGTGGACAAGACCATTAGCATTTCAAAAAAAAAAATGACCAAAGAGTTTCGATATTTTTCCTATTTAAAACTTGACTCTTCTGTAGTTACATCGTGCACTAAGACCGACGGAAAATGTAAAGTTGCGATTTTCTAGGCTGATATGGCTAGGAACTATACTCTCATTCCTGCGTAATAATCAAGAAACTTCACTGCCGTACCATGAGTGCAGCAGGCGTAATGATATGACGCAGCGCCTGAAAATAGGCTACCTTCCATCAATAGAGCTGGGGACTATTTTCAGAAGAAGAGTCAAGTTTTAAATAGGAAAAATATCGAAACTCTTTGGTCATTTTTTTTATAGAAATGCTAATAGTCTTGTCCACTTCAATGATGTATGCTAAGCTATGCTAAAAGTGGTACCGCCAGAACCGGAGATCGGCTGAATGGATTCAAAAACGGTAAAACTCAACAGTTTAACTCTGGGGGAGTTGTAAAATGAGCCTATTTCCAAAAAAAGTGGAGTATCCCTTTAAACGGTTGTAATTCATGAACCCTTGTTTAGACTAAAGACTTACGGTTGGTCTCTTTTCTTTTATTAAAAAATATATAAATTAATATAGGTTTCAGCCCAAAAATGACAGAAAGTCAAAGCCATATGTCTGACCAAGTTGTGTTCCAAATTTGAAGTTGATATCACAAAAATTGAAGTTCCCATGAGATTTTGTTTAGGCGTAATACCAGAAATAGCCACCGGGTGACATACATTCCATTGAATTTAATGAAGCCTGTTATCAGTCAATGCTTTCATTGGGTGTGCGGGAAAAAATCCATTCATATATGAATCGCGGTTCTATCTTCCACCGATTTGAATAGATTCACAAATTTCTAAAATCGATTTTCTAAAGTGTTACGCTTCTTTAACTACGCAGTACTACTTAAAGTTACCTAATAACGTTAATCATAATAAGCCGCGAATAAGGACTCAAAGCCGAAGTACGCGCACATCTCGCATGCATTCGATCTCGTATTCAGTTCTCTTTCACAGCTACACACACACTTGTCAAAATGCACATCGTGTGGACTTTGGAGTATTCAATGTAAACAGAGTCTGTTATGTCCTACGCGAACGAAAACAAATGGGAGAAAATTGGATTTGTAACTATATCCGTACATTCATTCTTAAAGGGACAGTCGCCTCATAAACTGTTGCCATCCGTTTCATTAATGTTAATAAAAACACTTTTTTATCCTTATTATAAATCAATTTATAATTGATTCATACAGTTAAGACCATACAGTGTTTCACTTTTACATTTGATTAGTCAATTTCGTTAGTATTTCTTACTACATGTTTAATAAACCTATGCTACTGTACCTGAAAAACTTAGTTTATTTGATTTTTATGTTTTTCTATTATATTTGTCCTATTGATTGTAATTTGCTTATTTCACACTTTCACATTTAATTCAGTAGGATTTTCTTTTCTTCTAAACCTATTAAAATGTCTACCGCAGTCAAATAAGAAAAGTAACACAAAACAGTCAACTACAATCAAAATGCACATATCGAATCGAATCGTGAGGTACCAAAAGATTCTCATCCCGAGTTTTCATTGCTCATGTATATGTGTGTGTTGAGCAGTTCCTGTACTGGTGTCGGGTTTGAGGAAGAGCACAGCCACAGAATCCAGTCTGACGCTGCTCTGGAACACACCGACACAATCACACTACAGGATCCTACAGTACCAACTACGCTACTGTGAGAAGGTAAACTACACTATGCTATATGACTCTTCATTATTCGTATATTACACAACACTTCAAAAACAGAACACTATAAAATTCTCAACAACACTACACTATTCTACACTATAGATAACCATACTGTTCTATACTAAATTATATACTAAGTTCTGTACTGTTCTTTCTAAATGACACAAGTCCACTTAATTGTATTGAATGTGCACTTACAGTTCACTTCAAATCTTAAAAGTATATATTAAAAATGTTTTACTTGCAGATAATATCAATTAAATAAAAGGCCACTTAAGTGTACTTAAAGAGAGTAAACTTTCATGACTGTTTACGAAGTACACTTAAGTCTTGTTTTGATGTGCCAACTAACATACTAAAGTACTTGATTATAATCTTAACTGTAGTGTGTTATTTGTTATTACATTTAAAAGCATTTTAAATGTACTTAATCAATACATTTTGAAAAAGTGTCAATCGAAATGACATTTTATAGAATGTTTTAGTTGACCATAAATGCTTGTCAATACATTCATATACAAGACAATATAAGTAATTATGAAATGACAAATAAAGATGCACTCCCTAAGTAGCTCTTAAAGCACTCGTTTAATTAAAAGCGAATTTAAACTATAGTACATTTTCATTTATTTGCAATTAACATGCATTTAAGTGTCTGAGAACATTACATTCAGTTTGCACCTGAGCGCATTATAGTCTGCTTTTTAAACGTATGCTAAAGCTTGCATTGCTTACAATCCAGATATCTCACATTGGTACCAGTACACCACGTTTACTCAGGAAAATGTGAATTCTCACTGTAATTCAGTATTGTTTTTATACTGCTTCTCAGCTTGAAATACAGACAGTCTATTTTTATTTCTCTTGCTCCGTTTTTCTCGCCGCTTGTGTTTTATTGATCGCTCTCTGTGCCACAGCTGTTCACTGTTTGCACTACAAACCAGCCAGACTAATTAACAATTAATATATTCAAACAGCTCAGAAACTGTACGTGAGGAATCAGCTAAATGGAAGATATTGGTGTGTGTTCTTTTGAAAGGAGCGTGGCTTCGAGGAGAACTCCTGTCATTATACGGAGAGCAATGTCAACGAGGTTGTGCTGAGCGACTTGCGCAGAGCCACACAGTACGAGGTCCAGGTCCGCGCGCGCACTTTGGCCGGCTACGGCAGCTTCGGTCAAGCTATCGTCTTTCGAACCCTGCCTGACGGTAAGAAAGTATGGAAGCTTGTTTCCGCCACTGAATAAAAAAAAAATAATAATAATTGCGACTTTTTATCTCACAATTACGAGATGTGAAGTCAGAATTGTGAGAAATAAAGTCGCAATTGCGAGATATAAAGTCGCAATTCTGAGAAATAAAGTCGCAATTGCGAGATATAAAGTCGCAATTCTGAGAAATAAAGTCGCAATTGCGAGATATAAAGTCGCAATTCTGAGAAATAAAGTCGCAATTGCGAGATATAAAGTCGCAATTATGGGATATAAAGTCGCAATTGCGAGAAAAAAAGACAGAATTGCGACTTTTTATCTCACAATTCTGACTTTTTTTCTCACAATTGCGAGTTTACATCTTGCAATTCTGACTTTATAACACATAATTGCGAGTTTATATCTCGAAATTCTGACATCTTTTCTCAGAATTGTGAGATATAATCTCGCAATTGCGAGTTATCAGGCCAATTCTAAGGGGGAAAAAGACTAACTTTTTTCCTCTCAGAATAGTTTATATCTCACAATTCTGACTTTACAACACGCAATTTCGACTTTATATCAATCAATTCTGACTTTATATCTCGCAATTCTGACTTTATAACACGCAATTGCGACTATTTCACGCAATTCTGACTTTATAACACTCAATTGCGACTTTATATCACGCTATTCTGACTTTATAACCTGCAATTGCGACTTTATATCAATAAATTCTGACTTTATATCACGCAATTCTGACTTTATATCTCGCAATTCTGAGAAATAAAGTCAGAATTGCGAGATGTAAACTCGCAATTGTGAGAAAAAAAGTCAGAATTGTGAGATAAAAAGTCGCAATTACCTTTTTTATTTTTCATTCTGTGGCCGGAAACAAGCTTCCATCAGAAAGGGACTTCGTATTGTGATACTTTATTAGCGCCAAACTTTTTGTGCCCTAGAGTTTTGTGTGAGAAGGCGTTTTATTGATTGTTTTTTTCTCTCTCTTGAGATCGTATCACATCTTTTGCTGTTTTTAAACCCTCTCTCTCTCACTTTGGCTGTCTGCCTCTCTCTGTTTCCCTAGAAGATGATTCCTCGTCTCCGCTGCTTGTTACTGGGATCCTCATAGCCGTGGGCATGCTGCTCCTCATCATCGTCATCGCTGCTGCTATCTACTGTATACGGTAAAACAAGAGACCAACAAGCCGTAGAGAGTGTGAGGTTGTTATAATTGGGCCTGCATGCCCGCAGAAAGCTCCAGAGATTTCCACAGAATTCAATCAGCCGTCATTCACACGTCCACTGTCCCTTGCATGCTTGCTTATTAAATAAATGGGCTATTTTTAATAATGCTTCCAATCAGGAAGCAATAAAACTATTAAAAAAAATCTCAGCACTGTTTACCATATATAAATGTGCAGTTATGATACTTTCTCGTGTCCTGGCTTAATAAAAGGCAACTGTAAGTAAGCTCTTTGTAGGTTAATGGTTGTTTGTTGGTTCAAACAACATTTATTTTACGTCAATCAATAGCATGAGTTTAGGACTACTTGTTTTATTGAGTGAGGAATAAGGAGTGTTTGGGAAACTGTTTGTGTATTGCGAAACCTGCTTGCACAAAATGTTTGCACTAAAACTATTAAAAATCATTTTCAAAAATTAAGCTAAAATATAAATATTAGATATTACAAAATACTAAATAAAGTAATACATAATAAATATTAAAAATGATTAATTCAATTAGAAATGCTGCCGTGGCTAGGCAACTAACTGGAATAAAATAAAAATTAAGCAGAAGTACTACAATTACTAAAACTGAAATAAATATAAATTAAAGCTAAATAGAAATATAAACAAATAAAATTGAAAAAGCACAGAAATGTTAAATATTAAAATGAATGAAAATGAAAAGCGTCAATAGAAAAATAAATGGTGTCAATGCTACTAAAATAATACTGATGTTCAGTAACTAAAATAATGCTGACATAAAATGTAAAAAAATTATATAATAATTGTATTAAATACTTACACTTATTTTATTTCAGTTAGTTGTTAAGTTTTAGCACTACAATTACATCTGAAATAAAAATAAATTAAGGCTAAATAGAAATATATCAAAAACTAATAATAAAAGTGACAAATCCGAAAATATAAAAACGGACCAATTCGAAATATCATTAAATACTATAATATTATATAAATAATGCTAAAATAATTGTAGCACTTTACACTAGGGTTCCCTTAGTTAAGGTTAGTTAATGCATTAACTGATATTAACAATGAGCAATACATTAGTTACAGTACTTGTTAATCTCAGTTAACATTACTTAATAAAAACACAACTTATCATTGTTAATTTAGGTTCATTAAAATTAAATAATGTTAACAGATACAACTTTTGATTTTAATTGTGTCAGTAAAGATTGAGAATAATATTAACTATGATTAATAAATGCTTTAGAAATACTTTTTCATTGTTAGTTCATGTTAACTAATGCAGTTAACAAATGAAACCTTATTGTAAAGTGTTACCTAAATAACACATCAAATGACACAGAATTGCACGGATTATTCCACACAATCATTGCAGAAAAAGTGTAACAAGTAATATTGTGTGGGCCTTATTATATGGATAGTCTAGAAGTGACAATCAGCCTGTTTGAGCCGAAAGACCTGACGTACCTCTCCAAAGTGATCAGACTCTCCTAACTGTCATTTCAAATGCATGATTTTTGTGGGAAGAGAGAGAGAGAGAGAGAGAGAGAGAGAGAGAGAGAGAGAGAGAGAGAGAGAGAGAGAGAGAGAGAGAGAGAGAGAGAGAGAGAGAGAGAGAGAGAGAGAGAGAGAGAGAGAGAGAGAGAGAGAGAGAGAGAGAGAGAGAGAGAGAGAGAGAGAGAGAGAGAGAGAGAGAGAGAGAGAGAGAGAGAGAGAGAGAGAGAGGTGGAGACAGGATACAGTTGTCCCACCCCAGTCTCCACAGGCCAAATCAGCAGAACAATAGTCGTGACCCTGGGGTAGCACACACACAACACACACACTACCACTTCTTTAAGCGCAAGTGTATTTACACAATGAACATACACTCCAGTGTACATGCAAACGCAGATATTGCTGATAAATGGCCCGTATATTTGCCCTCGTATGAACAGCTATGATTACAGGAGCGTGCGTGTTTGGATGTTTACATATATTGTTCACATTTCCACACATTACATACACAAATTTTCACACCCAGTTAAACGGAGAGTCCCTACAATCAATCACACACACACACACACACACCGGGAGCCTCCGGTCCAGACCTGCCATCGGCACTGGGTGGGACAAACGTGGCTATTTTAATCCTGGGAAATCAGGGAGAAAAAACGATAGACGTGGAAAAATTTGCTTGCCATTTCCAAGCTATGAAGTTTTCAGTTATGTTTTTTTTTCTAAGTATTAACTTTTTTTTCCGATGTATCTCCTAATATGCCTTAAGAAACAGAACATGAGACGTGCAGTGAGACTATAGAGCTATAAAACCAAGGTATAGCTCAGATCTTTTAAATAATGAAAGAATCTTCTTTGACTCTTAACTTTAGGGTTATCTTGTGCAGTTGTACTTTTCAAACTAATTTGTTTCAAGGATAACTTTTAAGCAATTCCATTCATTCTCCTTTCAACCTTAAGTTGCAAAGCAGTGTTGAGCCGTAAGCGAGCGTCCACAACGAAGGAATGAGAAGGACATGCAGTGAAAGAGAGAGAAGAAAATAACAAGAATAACAAGAACGACCTCAGTAATTTAAGACTGCGTTCGAGTATAATGCACTATTAACGGTCTTGAATAAGAGAACAGAGCCTGAGGTACGAGACAAAGACACAGGAAGAGGAAGAACGGGGCGGAGAGAGAGATTTACTGTGCATTCAGTTCATTCTTTGCTCACAGTAATATGACAACAAAAGACAAAAAACAAAAACATGGAACACAACAAGCACACCGAGCCCAAACCAGGCGTGACTCAACAAGTTTCCAGGATTTTTCCGAGCTCCCTAAAAACTTCAGATCGCAGCTGACTCACAATTCATACAATTTGACATTTGTATTTCGGTTTTAACATGTGATTCAATCGTAGAATTTGAGAAATAGAAGGTACATGTCGGAAGTGAGCTTGCGATCCCTTAAAAACTCATGCTAGGACAGGGGTTCCCAATATTTTTTGGCAGCTGAACTTCTTAGATGTAAAATATTTACTTGAAGCACCCCCTGAGATTTTAAGTTAATATTTCAATAATTTAACAACTCATTCGCAGATTCACGGTTCTCTGACGACGGTTAAAGGTCACATGACAAGCAAGTAAACTAATGTTTTTATTTAAGTTTTATTAGTATTATTTTTAACTCTGAAGACAAATATATTACTGTTGTTGTACTGCAAGGTTTAAAAAAAACTAAAAACGTGATAATTCCAATACTTTTATTTTACACTACAAGTACTAATATTTATGTCTTAAATTCTTATGAAAAAAATTCAAACCGTCGAGATTATTAGATTTACTTCTGATATAGATTTATATCACATTAACAGTTTTATTTAGATTAATTGTGCCGCCCTACAGGATATTTATCTATTTGGTAACACTTTATTTTAGTGTCATTGTCACAAATGTTATATTACTATAGAAAAATTATACATAATTACATGCAACTAACCCTAAACCAAAGCCTAATCCTAACCCTATAGTGAGCACATTACTTTATATTACTCAATATGTATAATTACAGTGTAACAATGACACCTTAAAATAAAGTGTTACCATCCATTTTAATTTTACATTCCATTTGATTAATTATTAGCTTTTTATCAACCCATGAACCCCCGTTTGGGAAACCGTAAGCTAGGCAATAATGTACTTTCGGCGGCCATGGAATGAATACGGTGCATTTATTTTTGCCCTTTTCTAGCATGTCAGTGAGACCCAAAAGCGGTAAATTGGGCTTAGCAGTTCCCGCTTAAACCTGTGTGTGTAAAGGCATAAAGCAAATGCCTCTTACTCCTAACCATCTCAGACAGCGACTGTCCAACATTATTTCCAAGCACTTTCTTGCTTCATTGAAAGATTCTTCAAAGTCATACTCAAAGTTAGCCAACCCAACTTTGCTGAAGAGACAAGCACATGTTTCGGATGCTAGTATGCTGGTGTTCAAACCAGACATGTTAACTAGCTTAACCAGCAATACTTCTGGGGTCAAGCAGCCAAAAAGACCTTACTAAGTGGCCAACAACATGATCAACCCGCTAAACTAGCACCAAACCAGCAGTTAACATGCAGCGTCAGGCAGTTGGGGACTCTGGATGTGGAGAAAAACGGATTGAACTGAAAAGCTAAACACTTAAAGTCAAACTTTAACTCACTCAGCTGTGAAATAGCTTGAAGCGTCATGCTGCCATGGGATTTTCCTCAATCCTTGAAAATGTAATTAGAGTTTTGCTGGGCATTAATGTCTAAAAACCTCAAATGAGTTTAGTTGTTTGTGCATGTTTGCCATTGAAAGACTTGCATATTTGGGAATGTTATGTAATGTTACGTATTCATCCATTTTTCCTTTTCTGATCACAGGAAGCAAAATCATTTCAAAGATCCAGAACTGAGTGATAAAAATGGCCAATATCTCATGGGTCAAGGTGAGCACTGCAACATCCTATCTTATTATAATTATGCATTCTGTTTAAGTTGTGGCTTTTTTGATTAATAGAGTAACTGACATATTTTTCTCTCCCAGGAGTGAAAGTTTACATTGATCCATTCACTTACGAGGACCCTAATGAGGCCGTGAGAGAGTTTGCTAAGGAGATTGATGTCTCATTTGTCAAAATCGAAGAGGTTATTGGAGCAGGTAAGTCTTCCTCTCACAACATTTATTTCATAATTTATTTTCACACAGTACAGTCACATATTCATTTTCAGTCATTTGTCAGATATAACGGTAACACTTTACAATAAGGTTCATTAGTTAATGTATTAACTAACATGAACTAACCATGAGCAATCCATTTGTTACTGTATTTGTTCATCTTTGTTAACGTTAGTTAGATTTTAATAAAGTATTAGTAAATGTTGAAATTAACATTAACAAAGATTAATAAATGCTGTATAAGTGCAGTTCATTATTAGTTCATGTTAACTAATGTTAACTAGCAAACCTTATTGTAAAGTGTTACCAATATAACAAAGGTGTATAGATAATTTTTTTACAGGTGAAACTCGAAAAATTTGAATATGGTGCAAAAGTTCATTTATGTCAGTAATTCAACTTAAAAGGTGAAACTAATATATTATATAGACTCATTACATGCAAAGTGAGAAGTTTCAAGCCTTTATTTGTTATAATTTTGATGATTATGGCTTACAGCTTTAAAAAAAAAATCTAAATTAGGATATTGTGAAAAGGTTTTCATAAGCTGTAAGCCAGAATCATCAAAATAATAACAAATATAGGCTTGAAATATCTCACTTTGCATGTAATGAGTCTATATAATATATTAGTTTCACCTTTTAAGTTGAATTACTGAAATAAATTAACTTTTGCACGATATTTTAATTTTCAGAGTTTCACCTGTATATTTAACATACAACTAAGAGATTTCACAAGAGATTTTTTTTAAATTATTATTACAGTCGCAGCTTGGTTGGACTAAAAAATGGTTAAAAATTGTGTGCTTTGTTTTGCCATTTCAGGCGAATTTGGCGAGGTCTGTCGGGGACGGCTGAGGATTCCTGGGAAGAAGGAGAACTATGTTGCCATTAAGACTCTTAAGGGTGGATACACAGACAAGCAAAGGCGGGACTTCCTTTCTGAAGCCTCAATCATGGGCCAGTTCCAGCACCCCAACATTATCCACCTGGAAGGCATAATAACAGCCAGCTGTCCCGTCATGATCCTCACAGAGTTCATGGAGAATGGAGCTCTGGACTCCTTCCTGAGAGTAAGTATGCGTAGGATCTAGTGGTATGTGTTTGTTGACGTAACATCTCAGTGGCTACGTTTACATGGAACCAAATAATCCATTAGTAATCGGACTGAAAAGCCTTCATGTGAACACCTTGGATCAAGGGTTAGTTCACCCAAAAATGAAAATTATGTCATTAGTGACTCGCCCTCATGTCGCTCCAAGCCCGTAAGACCTCCGTTCATCTTCGGGACACAGTTTAAGATATTTTAGATTTAGTCCGAGAGCTTTCTGTCCCTCCATTGAAAATGTATGTACGGTATACTGTCCTTGTCCAGAAAGGAAATAAAGACATCATCAAAGTAGTCCATGTGACATCAGTGGGTTAGTTAGAGTGTGTTGAAGCATCGAAAATACATTTTGGTCCAAAAATAACAAAAACTAGGACTTTATTCAGCATTGTATTGTCTTCCGGTTCTGTTGTGGATCCGCGTTCAGTGCCGCCGCTGACGTAAGACGCTGCTGACATGTGTCTGGTGTGTGTGTGTGTGTGTGTGTGTGTGTGTGTGTGTGTGTGTGTGTGTGTGTGTGTGTGTGTGTGTATTCCGGTTCTGTTGTGGATCCGCGTTCAGTGCCGCCGCTGACGTAAGACGCTGCTGACGTGTGTCTGGTGTGTGTGTGTGTGTGTGTGTGTGTGTATTCCGGTTCTGTTGTGGATCCGCGTTCAGTGCCGCCGCTGACGTAAGACGCTGCTGACGTGTGTCTGGTGTGTGTGTCTGGTGTGTGTGTGTGTGTGTGTGTGTGTATTCCGGTTCTGTTGTGGATCTGCGTTCAGTGCCGCTGCTGACGTAAGACGCTGCTGACGTGTGTCTGGTGTGTGTGTGTGTGTATTCTGGTTCTGTTGTGGATCCGCGTTCAGTGCCGCTGCTGACGTAAGACGCTGCTGACGTGTGTCTGGTGTGTGTGTGTGTGTGTGTATTCTGGTTCTGTTGTGGATCCGCGTTCAGTGCCGCGGCTGACGTAAGACGTTGCTGACGTGTGTCTGGTGTGTGTGTGTGTGTGTGTGTCTGGTGCGCCCGAGCTTCGTTTACAGTCTGAGGGAGACGCACGCTGGAAACAAAACAATCTTCGCAAACATGTCTAAGGATTTCCACACAGAGGAAGACTTGCATTTTTTTTGCCCAGCCATATTTATTTGAACCCGAATACACGGACGCACCAGACACACGTCAGCAGCGTCTTACGCCAGCGGCGGCACTGAACGCGGATCCACAACAGAACCAGAATACACACACACACACACACACACACACACACACACACCAGACACACGTCAGCAGCGTCTTACGTCAGCGGCGGCACTGAACGCGGATCCACAACAGAACCAGAATACACACACACACACACACACACACACCAGACACACGTCAGCAGCGTCTTACGTCAGCAGCGACACTGAACGCGGATCCACAACAGAACCAGAATACACACACACACACACACACCAGACACACGTCAGCAGCGTCTTACGTCAGCGGCGGCACTGAACGCGGATCCACAACAGAACCAGAATACACACACACACACACACACACCAGACACACGTCAGCAGCGTCTTACGTCAGCGGCGGCACTGAACGCGGATCCACAACAGAACCGGAAGACAATACAATGCTGAATAAAGTCCTAGTTTTTGTTATTTTTGGACCAAAATGTATTTTCGATGCTTCAACACACTCTAACTAACCCACTGATGTCACATGGGCTACTTTGATGATGTCTTTATTTCCTTTCTGGACAAGGACAGTATACCGTACATACATTTTCAATGGAGGGACAGAAAGCTCTCGGACTAAATCTAAAATATCTTAAACTGTGTCCCGAAGATGAACGGAGGTCTTACGGGCTTGGGACGACATGAGGGAGAGTCATCAATGACATAATTTTCATTTTTGGGTGAACTAACTCTTTAATCAAACCCGATTGAGCTCGATCCGAATTAAATTTTGATCGGATTGAAAGCGGTGCTTTTATTCCTTTTCTTATCCGATCGAGAGAACATGTAAACACATGATCGGATTGAAAACCGAAAGGACTGCGCATGTGCAATGACGTAGAAATAGCGTGTCAAAAAATATATTCCGATATGAAGCTTGTGACATATAAACGCGCACATTAACCTGATCACATGATTAGCGTTCATGTTAACACTACGTTCGGATTCATCATTTGGGATTAATTCAGTCCGATTGAAACAAAAGTTGTGCATAGCCAGTGATTCTCATACACGAGGACTCTCTGACATGATCTTTGTTTCTCTCCAGCTCAATGATGGCCAGTTTACTCCAATACAGTTAGTCGGTATGCTGCGCGGCATCGCATCGGGAATGAAATATCTCTCCGAAATGAGTTACGTGCATCGGGATCTTGCCGCACGGAACATTCTCGTCAACAGTAACCTGGTTTGCAAGGTGTCCGACTTCGGTCTGTCGAGATTCCTGCAAGAGAATTCTTCTGATCCTACATACACAAGCTCACTGGTAAGAGCAAATGCTTGGGCAACGTTAAGCACTTCACACGGACTCAATGTTTTTAGAGCAACGTGCATCATGATCTTAATTTGCATTGTTTATCAGAGCGTAACTGATCTGCTTCTTCTTTCAGGGTGGTAAAATTCCCATCCGTTGGACGGCGCCCGAGGCGATTGCGTTCAGGAAATTTACCTCCGCATCAGATGTGTGGAGTTACGGAATCGTCATGTGGGAAGTGATGTCGTTTGGAGAGCGACCATACTGGGACATGAGCAACCAGGATGTAAGTGTTTGTATTTTAATATGATTACATTATTGTGACAGCTTTACTTTGGATTAAAGCAGATGCAGTGATATAGAAAATGATCCATTAGCAGTGGTTGATAATTATTTTTGTTGTGCAAATAGTCAAAATGTTTGTTTTGAAAAGTTACACTACTGTTCGAAAAGTTTGTGGTATGTATGATTTATTTAACAGGGCATTAAATCGATCAGAAGTGACCGTTATAATTATAAATGCCGTTCTTTTCAACTTTTGTTCAACAAAGAACCCTGAAAAAAATGTGTCTCAGTTTCCACAAAAATAAGAAGCAACTGTTTTCAACATTGATAATAATCAGAAATGTTTCTTGAGCAGCAAATCTGTATATTAGAGTGATTTCTGAAGGATCATGTGACACTGAAGACTGGAGTAATGTTTTGATCACATGAATAAATTGCATTTTAAAATATATATTTAAATAAATTGTAATATTGTACTGTATTTGTGATTGAATAAATGCAGCCTTGGTGAGCATATTTTTTCAAAAAGCAAATCTTACCGACCCCAAACTTTTGAATGGTAGTGTTAGTGTACATTACAAACGATGTTTCCAATATCACCCTAATCTGACCGGAAAAAAAATTATATCTTCAAAGTGCTAATATTGACATTATGCATTATACAGTGGTGTGAATAAGTTATTACCCCCATGCTAAAGTTGCCTAAAAAGAGGAATAAAAAATCATCTTTTGGAAATTGATCTTAATGCCTTAATTAGAAAAATTAGGAAAAATCCAACCTTTAAGGACACCAATTTTCTTTGTGTATGAATAATGTATCATAAATAAATAAATGTTCTTCCTTAAAATACAGGGTGCATAAGTCAGGCCCCCCCCTATGTTAAATTCCCATAGAGTCAGGCAGATTTTTATTTTTAAAGGCCAGTTATTTCATGGATCCAGGATAATATGCATCCTGATAAAGTTCCCTTGGCCTTTGGAATTAAAATAGACCCACATCATTCCCACACATTCCCTTCACCATACCTAGAGATTGGCATGGGGTACTTTCCATAAGATCATCTTTCAATGCAAATTAAACCAGCTATTAGGCTAACTGAAATAAAACCATGCCAATATCTAGGTATGGTGAAGGGAATGTGATGATGTTGGGATATTTTAATTCCAAAGGCCAAGGGAACTTTATCAGGATGCATATTATCCTGGATCCATGAAATAACTGGCCTTTAAAAAAAAAAATCTGCCTGACTCTATGGGAATTTAACATAACATAACATCTTATGTTATGTTATGACTTATGCACCCTGTATTTTAAGGAAGAACATTTATTTATTTATGATACATTATTCATACACAAAGAAAATTGGTGTCCTTAAAGGTTGGATTTTTCCTCATTTTTCTAATTAAGGCATTAAGATCAATTTCCAAAAGATGATTTTTTTATTCCTCTTTTTAGGCAACTTTAGCATGGGGGTAATAACTTATTCACACCACTGTACATATATTTTCACTAATACATTCTTTCGACCCTGCATTTTCAATTCACTTCCTCTCTTTCTTCCTGCCCTTATTAACTCAATCTGTCTCACCCAATCAGGTGATCAATGCCATCGAGCAGGACTACCGGCTGCCGCCCCCCCCGGACTGTCCCACATACCTGCACCAGCTGATGCTGGACTGCTGGCAGAAGGAGCGGACGGCACGGCCACGCTTCTCCAACATCGTCTCAGCACTCGACAAGCTAATCCGCAACCCTGCCTCACTTAAAATCACCGCCCAAGAGGGGGCAGGGTAAGTTTCACATCCAGATCACTTACTACTTCAGTTATTTCAAAGAGCATTGCAGCCGAATACAGCAAAAGGTTTTTTGCAAACAATTTCTATTTTTTACACAAAATTACTAGCCTGGATGCTAGCCCGAACCCCGCCCAGAACATTTTTAGGTCGGGAAGTTCGGTCTGGACTCGAGTAATTATGATCGGTTCAGAAATAGTCGGGCCAATCAAATTGCCAGGGCGGGCTTTATACGATGATGGACAGATGATCTGCAGTTACGCAATCATCACGTTATCAAAGAGCGCTTGGGTTGAACTGGTTTCCCTCAGAGATGACTGCAGCTGGACAACTGAGATGTACAGATTCCGCTATCGCGTCTATTGTTAAAGAAATCGACAGCGCATTCATTTTAAAAGACGAACAGAGAACTGCAATCAAGGCATTTGTCGATCGGAAAGATGTGTTTGCCGTCCTTCCTACGGGATTCGGCAAAAGTTTATTTTATCAGCTGGCTCCGATGGTCGCTAAGAAGATGGGACGCAATGAAAACCCTGTGGTCGTTGTGGTTTCCCCTTTGGTCGCACTCATAGAGGGCCAAGTAAAAGAAGCAACACTCATTATTTTACTACTTCTTCCCGCGTGCGTGTAGTTGAGTTCTGTTGACAGCTATGCGTAGCTCAACATACGTCACTTACCGCGTTGCTCTGATTGGTTGTAGGTCTATCCAATGGAGTGCAGAGTTTTATTTTTTTCCTGGTTCGGTTAAGAGACGCCTCATAATCAAAGCCCAATGGAGCAGTATCAGACTCACATTCTGACTAGAATATGAGTATGACGAAGTCAGGCTACAAAATTACTAAAGCATCAAATTGCCCACTGATTTCTTGATTTTGGATCAAATAAATTTTAGGACATCTCATATTTCAATAGTCCACTTTGGACATTCTACTAACTATATGTAACTTGTCAACTACATGTCAACTAAGTCTCTTTAGAGTATTAGTAGACTGTTAGGTTAGGGTTAGGTGTTAGTAAAATAAGTTGAAATGTAGTTTCAAAGTCACTTAGGCTATGTTTACACGGAAACGATCTGAAGAGAAAACGCAAAAGTGGCGTTGCGTTATCACTTTTTATTCTGCGTTTAGGCGAGCGTTATGGTTGGGAAATCCGCGTGCATATGGTGACGCAAAAGTGTGTGAAATTGAATGTAGTATGCACTCCAGGCGGCTAGGTGGCAATGTGAAGCACTGCCACACAACAACACCAATATCTTAGAATATTTTGTACAACTGCTGAAAAGACTCTTGTATGTTTTTTAGAGCTGCTAGGGCAACTTGAAGGTCCGACGTATGGAAATAATCTGACATGTTGGTTGTTATTTTCCTGTACTGGCGCATGCATGTGAGCCACCGTGAGCAGATTTGCGTTTTTACCATTTAGACGGGAACGCGACGGTGGAGCGTTTTTAAGATTTCCACTCTGGAGGGTGGTTTCACTTTTTTGCGTTTTTAAGCCCCCAAAACGCCGTTGCCGTGTAAACGAAAGGCACATCCGATAAAATATTTTTACGTTTTCACCCGGAATCGTTCTCGTGTAAACGGGGCCTTAGAATGTCTGTTGGGGGAAGCATCAAAATAAAGTGTTATTAAAGCAGAAATTAAGCAGATATTATGTATCAGAATCAGAAATAAAGCAGATATTAAGTCGACAGACTACTAATACTCTGATGACTGCTGGTTGACGAAGTTACATATTGTTTGTAGAATGTCTTAAGTGGACTCTAATAAAAGCGTTATGCATTTGTCAGTTTTGTTTTATGTTGCCATGTCAACCAAAACAATTAACTCTTTCCCCGCAACTGACGGAAATTTCCGGCTTTTTTACGCATCTTCTGAAAGAGTACTGAATCTCCTGATCAAAGCACATGCGAGTAATCTTATGCATATGTAAAATAACGCGATCACCAACATTAAACAGAATATAAATCAAAACTGCCTAATGTTACTGAATGAAATGTCGACCCAGGATGATATACAGGACTGTGAAGCTTTGGGTGTTGATGGACTCGATCTACTCCATCTGTGTTTTGATCATCGTTCTGAATCTGTTCCAGGCGTAGTCTTTGATAAAACGTGATTTGCTCAGCTTTTTGTTCAAAATGTTGCTTTTTTATGAAACTTACCCACATTCAAGTGTTGATTAAAAAAAAAAGAAGCTAGAATAAAACAGTTTTTTTCTGTTTGTTTGAAAACAGATCTCTGTGTATTTATAATATAAAAGAAATATAATGCATGTTCAGATATTTATACAACAAAATATTCCGAAAATTTTGTGAAAATGATCAAAAATCCTAGCGGTGACTGACAATTGTTTTCAAAACCGCTGGCGAGGAAAGAGTTAATGTTGGCCAGTTACATGATTACTGAAAAATAGTTCAAACATTATTTGGTCACAGGAGAAGTAATGCGATTACAGTAATGCATTTACCCCAACAATGCTTGTCAATCAAGAACATAGCCGTTTCTGTTTTAGCTTTAGTCAGATCTCATTCCGTCCATCATTTCATTAGCTCACAGTATGGGCTCTTGTATGTTAGTCTTGCCCCTCCCCGCTCGGCATGTTGGCCTGTCAGCCTGTCAATCAAGACTCAACTCAAGACATTTTGGTCTCCCCTCCCCCTCGCCTCCAGGGAAAGCTGTTAGTCTTCCTCTCTTTGGCAGCCTTTCTAGATTTGTGTTGCTGCAGGCTGACTCAAGATGTCATCTTAATATGGGCAATTACATGCGTTTTAACAGTTCCCTCTCTTCGTCCTCAGACCCTCTCACCCTCTGTTGGACCAGCGCTCCCCACTGACGCCCTCGTCCTGTGGGACGGTGGGCGACTGGCTCAGGGCCATAAAGATGGAGCGTTACGAGGAGAGTTTTCTACAGGCCGGTTACACGTCCATGCAGCTGCTCGCCCACATCAACACAGAGTGAGTGAAGAGAATATCACCTTCATTCAACAGCATACTGAAATACAGAAATAATAGAGAGCAAATACAACTGCATTACAAGGAAGATTAAAAACGACTTCTTTGGTGAAGAGTAAATAAACAGATTCACAATCAAATTTATAAAAATAAATAATAAATGTTACTAAATAGAAACAAAGAAACTACATAAAAAGGACTTTTATTATATTTATATTATATTATTATATGTTGAATGTTGAAATAAGTTACTTCTGCTCACCAAGGCTGCATTTGATTAAAAAATACAGTAAAAGCAGTAATAATGTCAAATGTAATTACTATTTAAAAGAACTATTTTCTTGCATCATTACTCCAGTCTTCAGTGTCACATGATCCTTCAGAAATCATTCGAATATGATGATTTGATGCTCAAGAAACATTCCTGATTATTATCAATGTTGAAAACAGTTATGCTTCATTTTTTTCAGGATTCTTTGATTAATAGAAAAATCTAAAGAACAGCCTTTATTTAAAAATATAACTTTTTGTAACAATGTATCACTTTTTATCAATGTAATGCATCCTTGCTGAATAAAATTTCTTTCATAATTTTTTTTTTTGAAACCGTAGTGTATATTTATATATATTTTTATTCTTTTTTACATATGCAAACAAGATAATATATTATTTTTGGTGTTCATGTCTGCTGTTATTTTAAAAGCTAAGGTTTAATTGTGTTTTTTGTTTCTCTCTCTCTCTCTCTCTTTCCGTGTCTCAGGGATCTGCTGCGTTTGGGAATAACTCTGGCTGGTCATCAGAAGAAGATACTGTCCAGCATCGAGGCTCTTGGGATTCAAAACAAAACTCCAGGGAATGTGCTCTACTGAGTGAACCGTACACACTCACACACACATGCAAACGCTTGTCGAGTTTGCCGGAGAACCTTCATGTAACCTGTCCACTCACAATCAGGAACATTTCTACTTCCTTTTTACCGGGTCGCTTAAGGATCAAGATTGATTACTTGCTTCCAAGACTACCTAAAGGGGACCAGTCCAGGAACCTGTGGGAACTGTCACTGTAATACCACTAATATTACAAAGCTTCATTTGTGATATCAAACGGGTCTCATACGGGATGTTACCTCACCCTTTTCAGCATTTCGGGGAGCCACATGATGTAATCCAAAAGAAAAGACTTGCTCTGACATCATAATGCAAAGACAGTGACGTATTTCCATTTTTGCAGAGTATTTTTCTAAAGGGGACTTTCATACTGAAGAGACGGGAGGAGGATAACGCAGCATAAGACGAGACATATGACCTTTATAACGCAAGAATGTGGATACAAGTGATTATTAATGACGACTTTTGATCCTTCGTTTTAAGGATGTGTTGTGCGCTAACGGTCACATACACAGATACACACTACATGGCTAAAGTGCTAGGAAAATGGTATTTTTTTAAATGATGCACTCTGTGTGTGTGTATGTGAGCAGCAATAAGAAAAATGAGCACAAAAGTCTTAGCACTTTTTTTCAGAGGAGAAAGACATGAGGCAGAGGTTCCATTGGTGAACAAAATATGCGAAACATACTTGCTTATACAAACACACACACACACACACACATATGTAGAGATCTGCAACACTTGACTGGCACTAAAAGAGACCAAATAAAAGACTGTCTGTTGTTTTATGAGTGGCTGAAAGACTCGAAACAACCTTTGAACGCGTGCCATACTGTTTGTTTATTACAGGAATGTTGTGCTGGTTTGACTCACCAACTTGAAGCTGGTGTTCATCATCGACTAACCACAAGATTCAAAAGCCACCCTTTCAAACTACGTGTGGGTTTATGGGTTGGAGGATTTGGTCTTCACATTGGAGATCCACAAGAACAAACCAGGGACTTTTATTCTGTTGCCTCTTTTTTTTGTATAAATATATCTTGATTTATGTAAAAAGATTAATTTTCTTTGTCAGTGTAATCTGTGTTTCTGTTAAAATAAAATGTATACATTTAGTCTAGTTTTAAAATGTTCTTTCTTGCTTGCTTCTATTTTAATAACACAAGGAAACGAATTTCACTTGATTGTAAAAAGTTTATTAAGACCCTGTTTACTGCTGGTATTAAGATGCGTTTTGGTGGATCGGATCACAAGTGGACGACGCTAAATACAGGTGTAAACGGGGTCTAATACGCTTTGAGCTTGTCCACTTTCGAACACTTCCAGAGGTAGTGGAAAACACATTCGACCGGATTGCTGTCGTAGTGTAAACGCTCATGTGGACGAATGTGTTCAAACAGCCACAGAAGAAACGTTACTGACCTAATGTGTAAACATGATGAGAAGAGCTCTAGTCAGACGGGATTTAAACTTTGACAGCTGAAGACGCAAGTTTGGTTTGAAGAGGAAAAAATGTTCTCTCAGCATTCCTGATTTCTAACACACACTCAGTGTTCGACGTGATCTTGCGGCTGTCAGAGCAGAAACTGAAGCTAACGCTTTATGTATGTTTTTTTCATCGTCTCCGCGTTCATATGTAAATTGCGTGAGCTTATTTTGTCCATTAAATCGAAAGATCTAAAAAAAAAACCATAGATTTACCCGCCCATAGACAGAAGTGTTTGAAAGTGGACAAAAGTGGCTAAAAGGGAATGTTTCCTCGTCTACTTGTGATCCGATCGACCAAAATGCATCTTAATAACAACTGTAAACAGGACTCCCTAGTCCAAAAACAGCATTTGTTGAAACTTAAGATGTGGTGACATTAACGATATTTCAAAACGGTCCATTGTGTATTATGAATAGAGTAGTGCCAATGAATACTTTCATAGCACTCAGCTTTCGTTGGTCAACATGGCAACTCAATGAGACCTACCTGAACCTGCTGATGCGAAATCTGCATGGAAATTCCCAATCGCGTGGATTTCCTATCAAAATGACTATGATAAATACTATTTTTCCTAAGCACCAGAAGAACGTTTGCTATGAGTAAAGTGTATTAAAGTCTGTCAAAGCGTGTGATCATGTTCCTGTGTGCAGCACCTTCTGCTCTACCGAACCTTTTGAGGGATCCAAAATGTTGGAAATGGGTTGCTGTTTATTTTTAAGACAGATCTCTGATCATTTCAGTTTGATCTTAACCATTTGAGAGGACAAGATAGGATTGTTTTTGAGAACATGTTGCTATGTAATGCAGATTTGCAAAGAGGATGTTATTGAAAGATGGGGCAACGCTTAATGGCAAACTCAAGGTGAAGGGCACATTTACATATGTAGTCAAGGCACAGGCTTCTTAATTCAAGATTATGTTTCTGCTGTTTAATTCTAAGGTTCAGAGAGAGGGTAGAAAATGGTCATGACACACTAAATATGTTTTTGGCACATAAATCTCTCACAAACATTACAAGTCGACCTCAGAGAAAAATGGAAATGAATGCAAATTTTACATGACCCTTTTAATTCTTTTAATGCTCTCTTCCTGTTCTCCCGTGTTCCTCTTTGATCCTGTTATCTGTGACTGACTATGCTGCTGTCTACACACACAAACACACACACACACACACACACACACACACACACACACACACACACACACACACACACACACACACACACGGATGTATGGATGCATATTTCCATAATTGTTTGGGGGTTATCCGATTTCCTGGACATTCTTGTTTTAAGCATTCCTCCCTGAAGATACAATGACCTTCTCTCCTCGGCAGAGGTGCGAGTGAGATTTGGGAATGGGGCTTAGAGTTCCCCTCCCCCTGTCTGTGTCTCTTCACCAATGGACCTCTTGTCCCCAATCCCTTCAGAAGAAAGAACCAGTTCTTTCCCAAGACTCATGTCCTTGACTTAAACCTTCTTCTGACTTCTGTCGCCTCCTCTCTTTTTCCTCCCATGCTGCAGTTTCCTTGCACGTCTGTTTGTAAGTTTATATCCCTTCTTTGCAAACACGTCTCAGACGCGGTGGTATTTGGTAAATCTCATGAAAATGTGTTTAGGTACACTTTCAATCCCGATTATAAACATTTCCCCCTGGAATTCTAATGTAATGTGCCTCAATGTTTTACTTTTTAAAGGTATTTCTAATTTTCAATTATCTATGTTCTTAAAGATAATTATCCTTAGACTCCCATTACAGAAATAGAGTAATGAAAATCACCGTTTCCTGACTAAAGAAACCAATAATTAGTTGAACCTATATCTTTTTTCCCCCAAAAAAATAAACTTTTTTAATCAATCGGTTTGTTTTTTTAACTGACAAACAAGCTGTAAGTGTAAACATAGCCCAGAACAAATCTAATAATATAACTTTAATAACAAATGCAACAACACTAATAATAACAATATTCATAATGAATATTGTTTATAAGAAGAAAATGTTTTGCATTATGAGAGTTGCATCACAGTAATAAGTTGGAGGGTTGGGGAGTTGTCATGAAAATGTTATTTTCTTTTTTTCTTTTGGAATGAAACATGAATGATGACCGCATTTTTTACATTAAATAGCACTTTTGAATCTACATTTGAAACTTATGTGGTCCAAGTTGAAACTGAAACAAGAAGCCCACATTATAAACCATTGTCAAATACAAATAGTTTTAATGTTGGGTCCGTATTATTAGGGCGGGAGAGTGGTTAAGAGATTATGATTGTCCTTATTGTGGTAAGCTCTTCTGAATGCTTCAGTAAATTATATGTTGCTGTGCTGAGTTTCTGCGGTCTGTGATTGTCTGTCTCAGTTGCGTGTCTGTTTGCTCCAGGAGCCTTTATCTTTCGAGGAAGAACACAAAGCACATTCCTCAAGTGTCCCACCCCACCCCCTACTCCAATCTTTGTCTTTAAACAATGCCTGCCAGCCTCTCCTCTTACCATGCATCCCTTTGCAGGACAAAAGACAGAAGTCAGCACACTCCTCTCTTCCTTCGCATATGGACTTATCATCTTCCTCAGTCATTACTCAAGCCAAAAAGCTGCACTTCCCATCTCTAGCAAGCTCCCCAATGAAGTCTCTGCGAATAATGTTGCGTTCTCAACTCTCATGCTTAAACAATAAGCAATTAAGTATGTTTTATGTGCCAAACTACATTTTAAAAGGGACAGTAATCCACTGACAATTTCAGTTCAGATACTGTAGGAAAAAACATGAAGCTAGCATAGAATTGTGTGGCTTTAGTCATTTATTAGTTAGGTAAGCTCGGTATAGATGTGTTTGATAGTCAGTGTTTGAAACCGAAGAATATGATTTAAGTGTAAAATGAATGTTCATAAGGTTCGTCTGTATTGTGTGCCGAGATGATGCAAGCAGTGCTCATAGAGGTTTGCTTTGCAGTCTCACTGGTGGATGGCAGCGGTTTATTATTCACAAAGTCCTGCTTATGATCAATGACGTTTCCATCCACACGTTTTTATCCGCATTAAGTGATATCGAATGAAAAATGCCTTATGGAAACAGTAAAATTCGATTGAATTTCATGAATATCGACTCAAATGAAATACGATCGGCCTCATCGGATTTTTTCTTGATCGACATCCGGCTTATGCGATAAACGCGGATGGAAACGTTATTATGGTGCGATCCATTTTGCCTAGTAAAACTTTGTTCGCAAATGTTGGCTTGAATGTTGTGCAATTCGGTGAGAAAATGAATGGAAACACCTTAACATGTCTCAAATCAATTCGATATACCAATTTGATCGCAAAACAGCATGTGACGTCATTCCGCACAGGTTTTTATCCGCTTTAAAGCCGTTTGATGGAAACACACTTTCACCAGCTTTATTCGCATGAGGTTTTTTTTTACCGAACTTCAGATAATTCGATTGACAAGTGGATGGAAACATGGCTAATGACGTAGTTGGAGTTCTCCAAAAATAATCCATACAGGAACCAACATATAAACACCAAGACAATATTGTGAAGCGTTGTGAAAAGGCGTATATCTTTGGAACACTAGGTGGCGCTGACATTGAACTTCTCAGATACCTTGAGGTCATGCTGTTGATTATCCCTACCACATTTCATGCCAGTATGTCGAAAGCGGTTAAAGGAAATCAATATTTACATCAAATGTTTAAATGGTGGATGGATGATTTGACCACTTCTGGCAAAATTGGTTTCAAC